CACATCCTTGTTGTGTGTACCTAGTGTGTCTCATCCTTGGTGTGTGTACCTTGGGTGTCACATCCTTGTGGTGTGTACCTAGTGTGTCACATCCTTGTGTGTACCTAGTGTGTCACATCCTTGTGTGTACCTAGTGTATCACATCCTTGTTGTGTGTACCTAGTGTGTCACATCCTTGTTGTGTGTACCTAGTGTGTCACATCCTTGTTGTGTGTACCTAGTGTGTCACATCCTTGTTGTGTGTACCTAGTGTGTCACATCCTTGTTGTGTGTACCTGTGTACCGTGTGTGTCACATCCTTGTTGTGTGTACCTATTGTGTCACATCCTTGTTGTGTGTACCTAGTGTGTCACATCCTTGTTGTGTGTACCTGTGTACCTTGTGTGTCACATCCTTGTTGTGTGTACCTAGTGTGTCACATCGTTGGTGTGTGTACCTAGAGTGTCACATCCTTGTGGTGTGTACCTAGTGTGTCACATCCTTGTGTGTACCTAGTGTGTCACATCCTTGTGTGTACCTAGTGTATCACATCCTTGTTGTGTGTACCTAGTGTGTCACATCCTTGTTGTGTGTACCTAGTGTGTCACATTCTTGTTGTGTGTACCTGTGTACCTAGTGTGTCACATCCTTGTTGTGTGTACCTGTGTATCTAGTGTGTCACATCCTTGTTAGGTGTACCTAGTGTGTCACATCCTTGTTGTGTGTACCTAGTGTGTCACATCCTTGTTGTGTGTACCTAGTGTGTCACATCCTTGTGTGTACCTAGTGTGTCACATCCTTGTTGTGTGTACCTAGTGTGTCACATCCTTGTTGTGTGTACCTAGTGTGTCACATCCTTGTTGTGTGTACCTAGTGTGTCACATCCTTGTTGTGTGTACCTAGTGTGTCACATCCTTGTTGTGTGTACCTAGTGTGTCACATCCTTGTGTGTACCTAGTGTGTCACATCCTTGCTGTGTGTACCTAGTGTGTCACATCCTTGTTGTGTGTACCTAGTGTGTCACATCCTTGTGTGTACCTAGTGTGTCACATCCTTGCTGTGTGTACCTGTGTACCTAGTGTGTCACATCCTTGTTGTGTGTACCTAGTGTGTCACATCCTTGTTGTGTGTACCTAGTGTGTCACATCCTTGTTGTGTGTACCTAGTGTGTCACATCCTTGTTGTGTGTACCTAGTGTGTCACATCCTTTTGTGTACCTAGTGTGTCACATCCTTGCTGTGTGTACCTGTGTACCTAGTGTGTCACATCCTAGTTTTGTGTACCTAGTGTGTCACATCCTTGTTGTGTGTAACTGTGTGTACCCTTGTGTACCTGTGAACCTAGTGTGTCACATCCTAGTTTTGTGTACCTAGTGTGTCACATCCTTGTGTGTGTACATGTGTCACCTTGTTGTGTGTACCTGTGTACCTAGTGTGTCACATCCTTGTTGTGTGTACCTAGTGTGTCACATCCTTGTTGTGTGTACCTGTGTACCTAGTGTGTCACATCCTTGTTGTGTGTACCTGTGTACCTAGTGTGTCACATCCTTGTTGTGTGTACCTGTGTACCTAGTGTGTCACATCCTTGTTGTGTGTACCTGTGTACCTAGTGTGTCACATCCTTGTTGTGTGTACCTAGTGTGTCACATCCTAGTGTGTCACATCCTTGTTAGTGTGTCACCTTGTTGTGTGTACCTAGTGTGTCACATCCTTGTTGTGTGTACCTGTGTACTTAGTGTGTCACATCCTTGTTGTGTGTACCTAGTGTGTCACATCCTTGTTATGTGTACCTAGTGTGTCACATCCTTGTTGTGTGTACCTGACCTAGTGTGTCACATCCTTGTTGTGTGTACCTAGTGTGTCACATCCTTGTTATGTGTACCTAGTGTGTCACATCCTTGTTGTGTGTACCTAGTGTGTCACATCCTTGTTATGTGTACCTAGTGTGTCACATCCTTGTTGTGTGTACCTGACCTAGTGTGTCACATCCTTGTTGTGTGTACCTAGTGTGTCACATCCTTGTTGTATGTACCTAGTGTGTCACATCCTTGTGTGTACCTAGTGTGTCACATCCTTGCTGTGTGTACCTGTTTACCTAGTGTGTCACATCCTAGTTTTGTGTACCTAGTGTGTCACATCCTTGTTGTGTGTACCTGTGTACCTGTGAACCTAGTGTGTCACATCCTAGTTTTGCGTACCTAGTGTGTCACATCCTTGTGGTGTGTACCTAGTGTGTCACATCCTTGTTGTGTGTACCTAGTGTGTCACATCCTTGTGTGTACCTAGTGTGTCACATCCTTGCTGTGTGTACCTGTGAACCTAGTGTGTCACATCCTAGTTTTGTGTACCTAGTGTGTCACATCCTTGTTGTGTGTACCTGTGTACCTAGTGTGTCACATCCTTGTTGTGTGTACCTGTGTACCTAGTGTGTCACATCCTTGTTGTGTGTACCTGTGTACCTAGTGTGTCACATCCTTGTTGTGTGTACCTGTGTACCTAGTGTGTCACATCCTTGTTGTGTGTACCTAGTGTGTCACATCCTTGTTGTGTGTACCTGTGTACCTAGTGTGTCAAATCCTTGTTGTGTGTACCTAGTGTGTCACATCCTTGTTGTGTGTACCTGTGACCTAGTGTGTCACATCCTTGTTTTGTGTACCTAGTGTGTCACATCCTTGTTATGTGTACCTAGTGTACCTAGTGTGTCACATCCTTGTTGTGTGTACCTAGTGTGTCACATCCTTGTTATGTGTACCTAGTGTGTCACATCCTAGTTTTGCGTACCTAGTGTGTCACATCCTTGTGGTGTGTACCTAGTGTGTCACATCCTTGTTGTGTGTACCTAGTGTGTCACATCCTTGTGTGTACCTAGTGTGTCACATCCTTGCTGTGTGTACCTGTGTGTGTCACATCCTTGGTGTGTGTACCTACCTGTACCTAGTGTGTCACATCCTTGTGTGTACCTAGTGTGTCACATCCTTGCTGTGTGTACCTGTGAACCTAGTGTGTCACATCCTAGTTTTGTGTACCTAGTGTGTCACATCCTTGTGTGTACCTAGTGTGTCACATCCTTGGTGTGTGTACCTATGTACCTAGTGTGTCACATCCTTGTTGTGTGTACCTGTGTACCTAGTGTGTCACATCCTTGTTGTGTGTACCTGTGTACCTAGTGTGTCACATCCTTGGTGTGTGTACCTAGAGTGTCACATCCTTGGTGTGTGTACCTGTGTACCTGTGTACCTAGTACAGAGCAGCAGCAGCAGGGGGGGGGCCTATACAAACTGCCCTTGCAAGGCTTTTCAGTTCTAAATTGCAGTAATCACTCGAGAGCTTCCGGTGTGAGTGACACTCTCCCTGAGTGTATATACTTCCCCTGACCTGTTAGAGTGAAGATGTACACAGCGAGATGTATATGGCCAGCGCTAGGTCAGAGGACGATAGCAGACATAGGACGATAGCCATATGGTAGGTCAGAGGACGATAGCAGACATAGGACGATAGCCATATGGTAGGTCAGAGGACGATAGCAGACATAGGACGATAGCCATATGGTAGGTCAGAGAACGATAGCAGACATAGGACGATAGCCATATGGTAGGTCAGAGAACGATAGCAGACATAGGACGATAACCATATGGAAGGTCAGAAGACGATAGCCGACACCTAACCTCATGTTGTCATTCGATTTTACAATCTGTAATATCGTGAGATTTTATTTTTAATCGTAGCGTTGTTTATAATTATTTAGAAATTCTTGATTTGTTATGATTGGCTGTCGAGAGGAGGTGATATTAGATGTGAGGTAATTGTTGTGCCTCACAGGGCGTACCTCAGGGCGTACCTCAGGGTGTACCTCAGGGCGTACCTTGGGGTGTACCTCAGGGCGTACCTTGGGGTGTACCTCAGGGCGTACCTCAGGGCGTACCTTAGGGTGTACCTCAGGGCGTACCTTGGGGTGTAGCTTGGGGTGTACCTCAGGGCGTACCTTGGGGTGTACCTCAGGGCGTACCTCAGGATGTACCTCGGGGCGTACCTCAGGGCGTGCATTAAGCTAGCGTGTTAAGTATGGGAGGACGAAGAGCGCCGTGCAGGACCACCGTGCAGGACCACCGTACAGGACCACCGTGCAGGACCACCGTACAGGACCACCGTACAGGACCACCGTACAGGACCACCGTACAGGACCACCGTACAGGACCACCGTACAGGACCACCCACCGTACAGGACCACCGTACAGGACCACCGTACAGGACCACCGTACAGGACCACCGTACAGGACCACCCACCGTACAGGACCACCGTACAGGACCACCGTACAGGACCACCGTACAGGACCACCCACCGTACAGGACCACCGTACAGGACCACCGTACAGGACCACCGTACAGGACCACCGTACAGGACCACCCACCGTACAGGACCACCGTACAGGACCACCGTACAGGACCGCCGTACAGGACCGCCGTACAGGACCACCGTACAGGACCGCCGTACAGGACCGCCGTACAGGACCACCGTACAGGACCGCCGTACAGGACCACCGTACAGGACCGCCGTACAGGACCACCGTACAGGACCACCGTACAGGACCACCGTACAGGACCACCGTACAGGACCGCCGTACAGGACCGCCGTACAGGACCACCGTGCAGGACCACCGTACAGGACCACCGTACAGGACCACCGTACAGGACCACCGTACAGGACCACCGTACAGGACCGCCGTACAGGACCGCCGTACAGGACCACCGTACAGGACCACCGTACAGGACCACCGTACAGGACCACCGTACAGGACCACCGTACAGGACCACCGTACAGGACCACCGTACAGGACCACCGTACAGGACCACCGTACAGGCTCACCGTACAGGACCACCGTACAGGACCACCCACCGTACAGGACCACCGTACAGGACCACCGTACAGGACCACCGTACAGGACCACCGTACAGGACCACCGTACAGGACCACCGTACAGGACCACCGTACCTCCCTTACAAACATCACCATTAACCAACTGATCCTAAACTCTGTCTACCGTCACCAAGCCAGCTGTCTCCCCTCAGAACCCGTTGGGCACGGTGACCTGACAGGTCACGGTCCGCACAGACAGCAGGTCACCTCAAACTACGCTGCACAGGGTTGCAATCTCCTTCAATACTACCTGATTACCCGTTGTTGACCAACGTAAAGGGCCCAGGGACATGGATAATTCATTTAGCTTGCATGCAATGAAGTGTGTGTGTGTGTGTGTGTGTTTGAGGCAAGTTGCACAAGTCTGCTTCCTTTGCAATCAAATCAGTCTGCACGGCGCACGGCGCTGCGCAATTGTTAAGTTTTCTGGGGAGAAGCAAGGAGCTATCAGGATAAAGCGGCAAGTCATTTACGACTATATAGCACAGGGAAAGGGGTCAGGATAAGGATTTGGGATGGGACGGGGGAAAGGAATGGTGCCCAACCACTTGGACGGTCGGGGATTGAACGGTCAATCCATTTAGTACCACCAAGTCCCAAGTCCGTCCACACAGTACCAACAAGTCCCAAGTCCGTCCACACAGTACCAACAAGTCCCAAGTCCGTCCACACAGTACCAACAAGTCCCAAGTCCGTCCACACAGTACCCACAAGTCCCAAGTCCGTCCACTCAGTACCCACAAGTCCCAAGTCCGTCCACACAGTACAAAGTAATGATGTAATGAGTTCAGAATGCCTCAGTTATGCCTTGGGTTGCTGAGTGCAGTAAAAAATGACCAGGGATCCCTTACAACGTGTCAACGCTGCCCTCGTCTACTCGTTCGAGTGCAAGGATCATTGGAAACAAGCCACTCTGACGAGTGGAGGGCCCAGTTATCTACACACTCTTAACACTCATAGGAGTAGGAACCATGAGGCGGGATTCACGAAAGCACTTACGAACGTGTACATCTTTCCTCAATCTTTGACGGCTTTGGTTACATTTATTAAACAGTTTGCAACCATGAAAACTTCCCATTGAACTGTTGTTATTGTTATAAACAGCCTCCTGGTGCTTCGGAGCTCATTAACTATTTAATAATGGGAAACAAAGCCGCCAAAGATTGAGAAAAGATGTACAGGTTCGTAAGTGTTTGCGTAAGTGCTTTCGTGAATCTGGCCCCATCTCTCGCTGCCACAAGAACTGCACTTCCACCTGCACCACAGGACTGATCTGAGCTTCGTTGCACAGGTCAGGGGCTGGGTCAGTCTAGGCATCTTGATACTAATTGCAAAATGCAGATGTTCGTAAATGGGGAGATGGGGAGGATTTGCGGGTAAGGGGGAGAAAAGGCGACCTGGGCACTGCCGGGTATCTCATATTTCTGCTTCATAAGATACAACAATTACATTTGTTTCTCTTTTATTCGTTTCTTTCATGTAAATAATGCAGTTAGCAATGTGGTAATTAGCATTGATTATTATTATGGGGTATGGGTTAGATGTTATTTATGGGGTATGGGTTAGATGTTATTTATGGGGTATGGGTTAAATGTTATTTATGGGGTATGGGTTAGATGTTATTTATGGGGTATGGGTTAGATGTTATTTATGGGGTATGGGTTAAATGTTATTTATGGGGTATGGGTTAAATGTTATTTATGGGGTATGGGTTAAATGTTATTTATGGGGTATGGGTTAGATGTTATTTATGGGGTATGGGTTAAATGTTATTTATGGGGTAGTGGTTAGATGTTATTTATGGGGTAGTGGTTAAATGTTATTTATGGGGTAGTGGTTAAATGTTATTTATGGGGTATGGGTTAAATGTTATTTATGGGGTATGGGTTAAATGTTATTTATGGGGTATGGGTTAAATGTTATTTATGGGGTATGGGTTAAATGTTATTTATAGGGTAGTGGTTAAATGTTATTTATGGGGTATGGGTTAAATGTTAATTATGGGGTAGTGGTTAAATGTTATTTATGGGGTATGGGTTAAATGTTATTTATGGGGTATGGGTTAAATGTTAATTATGGGGTAGTGGTTAAATGTTATTTATGGGGTATGGGTTAAATGTTATTTATGGGGTATGGGTTAAATGTTATTTATGGGGTATGGGTTAAATGTTATTTATGGGGTATGGGTTAAATGTTATTTATGGGGTATGGGTTAAATGTTATTTATGGGGTATGGGTTAAATGTTATTTATGGGGTATGGGTTAAATGTTATTTATGGGGGTATTAGTTAAATATTATCAACCCTAAGTATGAAACCTCCTCTGGGATTAGTTACAACTGTGTTAACATTCGTGTTTTTAAAATATATTATGGGGGTATTAGTTAAATATTATTGTATGGGGGTATTAGTTAAATGTTATTTATGGGGGTATTAGTTAAATATTATTGTATGGGGGTATTAGTTAAATATTATTTATGAGGTATTAGTTAAATATTATCAACCCTAAGTATGAAACCTCCTCTGGGAACAACTGTGTTAACATTCGTGTTTTTAAAGCATGGCGTCTTTTTATTATTGGTTTAGTTAACCTAACGAAGCGAAACTGTAACGAAGCTGTTACTTCGTGAACTGTAACTTCGTTAACTGTAACGAAACGAAACATTCATACAATCAAACGAAACGATGTTAAAAGCGCCTGAACAATCCTTTTGTTGTGGACAGGATTTCCAAAATTTCAGACTATTATCAGGTATCTATAATGGCACTTGTTATATAAATATATAAAATATTAGATTCATATAAAAACTACTACTACTAATAATACTAATAATTCGTTTTCTTGGGGACAGGAAGCCTGTGTGTATACTTATAGTTTTGTCTTGTATCAAGGTCCCCCCCCCAACAGGTCTAACTACTGACCCATTCCAGGAGGCAACCCCATAATTAGCCTAGCTCCTGGGCACCTAATTTCTGTTTGGTGAACAGGTGCATTAGGTGAAAGTGAAGGCAAACCAGCCATTTCTGTCCCGCCTGGAAATCGTATCTGGGATCTTCGAGTGTGACTATCTAACGAAGCCCACTGCCCTATCACCTGGTGCACGAATTAACATGGTGCATGAACCGCCCTCTGGTGGCTGTGGTCAGCCGGTCTCAACAACAAAACCCAAATGCTTAGTAATCGAGCCGTAAATTATGAGTGAAAACCCCCAAATTTTGAGTGAAAACCCCAAATTATAAATGAAAACCCCTTATTTATGAGTGAAACTCCCTAATTGCGAGTGAAACCCCTAATTATTAGTGAAAACCCTCTAATTATGAGTGAAAACACCCAAGTTATGAGTGAAAACCCCCTAATTATGAGTGAAAACTCCCTAATTATGAGTGAAAACCCCCTAATTATAAGTGAAATTCCTAATTATAAGTGAAAACCTCCTAATTATGAGTGAAAACACCCAAATTATGAGTGAAAACTCCCTAATTATGAGTGAAACCCCCCTAATTATGAGTGAAAACCCCCTAATTATGAGTGAAACCCCTAATTATAAGTGAAAACTCCCTAATTATGAGTGAAAACCCCTTAATTACGAGTGAAACCCCCCTAATTATGACTGAAAACCCCTAATTATGAGTGAAAACCCCAAATTACGAGTGAAAACCCCCTAATTATGAGTGAAAACCCCCTAATTATGAGTGAAAACCCCCTAATTATGAGTGAAAACTCCTTAATTACGAGTGAAAACCCCCAAATTACGAGTGAAAACCCCTAATTATGAGTGAAACCCCCCTAATTACGAGTGAAAACCGATTTACACACACACACGACTCACAACCCATGACGTTCAATCGTTTACGAGAAAAAAATATGATATATTGACCCACGTTAGGCTGGGTTATTGATCTCCGTACCTGGAGAGAGGTTATTGACCTGCTTAAGGTTAAATGAGAGGAAGGTAAAAGGTCTTGGCGGTCCATTCCTGACCCTCGGACGCTCGCGAACTTCACATACATGTGTGTAGAAGACCTTGTGTGTATATCACATTGTCTACAGCTGATCAGTTTCCAGCTAGACTCTGCCCTTTACTGTTGTGTGTCACGCATTGTGAGGACTTTACGCTGTCACGGCCATGGTGAGAGGACAGTCTGAAGGTTACTGTAGGCAAGTTGGCTTTTGCAAAGCTTCAACTAGCGGACCCGGTTGTTAAAGCTTCAACTAGCGGAGCAGGTTGTTAAAGCTTCAACTAGCGGAGCAGGTTGTTAAAGCTTCAACTAGCGGAGCAGGTTGTTAAGGCTTCAACTAGCGGACCCGGTTGTTAAAGCTTCAACTAGCGGAGCAGGTTGTTAAAGCTTCAACTAGCGGAGCAGGTTGTTAAGGCTTCAACTAGCGGAGCAGGTTGTTAAAGCTTCAACTAGCGGACCCGGTTGTTAAAGCTTCAACTAGCGGAGCAGGTTGTTAAAGCTTCAACTAGCGGACCCGGTTGTTAAAGCTTCAACTAGCGGAGCAGGTTGTTAAAGCTTCAACTAGCGGACCCGGTTGTTAAAGCTTCAACTAGCGGAGCAGGTTGTTAAGGCTTCAACTAGCGGACCCGGTTGTTAAAGCTTCAACTAGCGGAGCCGGTTGTTAAAGCTTCAACTAGCGGAGCCGGTTGTTAAAGCTTCAACTAGCGGAGCAGGTTGTTAAGGCTTCAACTAGCGGACCCGGTTGTTAAAGCTTCAACTACCGGAGCAGGTTGTTAAGGCTTCAACTAGCGGACCCGGTTGTTAAAGCTTCAACTAGCGGAGCCGGTTGTTAAAGCTTCAACTAGCGGAGCCGGTTGTTAAAGCTTCAACTAGCGGAGCAGGTTGTTAAGGCTTCAACTAGCGGAGCAGGTTGTTAAAGCTTCAACTAGCGGAGCAGGTTGTTAAGGCTTCAACTAGCGGACCCGGTTGTTAAAGCTTCAACTACCGGAGCAGGTTGTTAAGGCTTCAACTAGCGGACCCGGTTGTTAAAGCTTCAACTAGCGGAGCCGGTTGTTAAAGCTTCAACTAGCGGAGCCGGTTGTTAAAGCTTCAACTAGCGGAGCAGGTTGTTAAACCTTCAACTAGCGGACCCGGTTGTTAAAGCTTCA